CGTGTGTGTGTGTGTGTGTGTGTGTGTGTGTGTGTGTGTGTGTGTGTGTTTGTTGTCCAGCGTAAAATGCCAATGTACCCACCTGGGAGAGAAGAGTAGATCGACCAAACAGAAAAACTGTCTATGTGGACATTATTCCAAAATCACTGTGTGTGTGTGTGTGGGTATGTGGGTGTGTATTCCTGTGTGTATGCACGTGTAAGTCAGAGCATACTGTGCTGTTTAGATCGCTATGGGACTTTTTAGTGTTTTGGTCAGACAGCATCATATATCATGGTGGTTTTATAACCCAAAGAGCTGTCTGAAAAAGAGCAAGAGAAGAGGGGAGGAGATAAGAGGAGGAGAGGCTGGAAGGAGACAAGAGAACAGCGAGAGGAAGACAACATGGAGGAGGCCACTTGAAAATTTTCAGTTCAACAGATGTGAGAAAAAAAGGCTTTCTGTCTTTGATATTCGCTTTCGTACCCCTTAAGCCTCAAACGCATCACAAAAAGATAGAAATTAAAAAAAAAAAAAAGAGTATTGTCATTCGGTAAAATATTATTTTGCAGATGTCGTTCACAGTGTTGACATTTTAGCTTTGTTCATTTATTAACAAGGGGCTGCTGGATCTCTTCTGATGTTTACTGTCATTATCATCAATAATATCTGTATACATTATGTAGGTCATCACTATTTACTCACAAGCAGATGTAGAGTGAGAAGTGAGAGCACTATTCACCATCAAGCAATAACCAGCAGAAAAACTGTGGCCTATTCTTGTCAGATATCTATTATGTTATTTATTCAATCAAAGACAATGTTCACATGTAAGCTGATAAGTTTAATAATTATCTGTCCATCAGTCTAAAAATACACAGACTGATGTGATGTATTTATAATTGTTAAATGCTAATACACACATGTATACAGTACATGAGCCATAATGAACACTGTGTTTGTACAGTATGTTTGTACGTGTGAGTTTAATGTGTTTATGCGTATGTTAAATTATATGTTATATTTTGTCTTTATATAAAGCACCCTGAACTGTTTTTGTATGATATGGTGCTAAACAAATAAATTGAAACTGAACGGAATTGAATTTTGCCAGATTTACGAGTTCTGAAATAATGGCGACAACTCTACGCTGCAAAACATGCAAATAAAACCAACAGGAAAAAAAATAACCACAAAAAAAATAAAAAATAATGTTTATCGAATTTTTCAGACATCCTCCTCCCCCTTTCTTTTCCCAGCTCTGTGTGTTCAGGACAGTGGTGATAAGCTGAAGCTTTTAGCCGGCTGACAGAGTAAAGCATGAATGAAATGAAAACTGAATAATGTGCTCCAGCTCTGTGTGTTGGGTGTTTATGGCTTTATACGCTACTTCTTGGGAGTTCCACCAACTCCCCGTGCAACAAATGAGAGCCAATACGGTCTAAAGAGCTAAACGAAGCCAGTTGTCCTCTGGACTGAGTGGGCTGTGCGCACACACACACACAAGCAAGCATATACACACACACACACACACACACAAATATAAGCATGCTGGCCTATTTGGCAACTGTTGCTCTTTGCCAACCCTTGCAGCAGACATACTGTAGTGTGAGTGTGAGTGTGTGTGTGTGTGTGTGTGTGTGTGTGTGTGTGTGTGTGTGTGTGTGTGTGTGTGTGTGTGTGTGTGCAGTCATACATCATTACCTGTGCTGGCAGGTGTGAGGCAGAGGGGAGTCTCACGTTGAAGCATCAGTGTCGTTCAGGACCATACAGCCGTACACAGCGCTAAAGAAACAGAAACGTACCAGTAAGTAAGGAGTCAGGATCCTACTGGTACCAGTATGTGGCCTAGTGTGGCCATGACTTTTATTCCTGATAAGCTAGGCCTAGGTGTTTGTTTGTTTGTCAATTTTATAATAAAAAGAGACAACCCTTTTTTGAGGCCAGAAATGCAGAATTTATTCAAAAGCCTAGCGTGTTACATTTCAGTCCAGTAACCATCAAGATCAGGGGTGCCACGTACAGTCCCATTTGATTGCAGGTTGGCCAGACCAGTAAAACCACTGCATAATATCCTATAAATAACAAACACCTCCATTTTCCCTTTTTTTTAGTTTAAAGAAGTACATTTAAAAAATGCTAATCCACTTACAAAACAGATGACACACAGTCTGTGATGTATCCAGAAGAATAAAACTGCAATTTCAACAATACTTCTCAGTTTTTCCATATTCAGTCATTCGTCTACTCACTGTCATCACTTAAGCAATATCACACGAGAGGGAGTGATGTTGTACTGTGATATCGTCACGGCTGTGATTCGGTCGTAGGCACGAGGCTGCAACAACAGTTCAACAGTTAAATAAGCAAAGCTGATTAAGAAATGTTGAAAAATGAGGACAAAATAGATAATTTAAGCATTTTATTTGTCTTCCGCCAACAAAAATAGTTCCCTCAGGACTCTGCTGTCACCGTTGCTATGTAACGCAGACATGGTGCACCAGGCACTTACTCTTTATACACATTTATCTGCACATTTCCATTAATTGTGCAGCCGGTGAAATAAGTCTTTGGTGACTGCATGGTGGACTGTCACTTCACAGGCACAGCCAACTCTGCCTTCTGATCTGACAGTATGTTGCTTTTCTCCAAGTCATTGAGCTCCGCTGATGAAACACTGACAAACCTGGATGTGTGCTCAGATGGATTCAGCTTCTCCTCTCCCTCATCTTCCTCTGATGACCATTCATAGTTCAATTTAAAACTTATTTTAGGAAATAAATCCATATTTTTGGCTGTTTGACAGTGGATGAATTAATTAGTCTACAATGCAACTGCTGACCTAACTGACACTAACCTTCAGTTTTGATTTGATTGTTGATTGCAATCAGCTGTGAGGCGGAGTGATACATACACAGTGAAATAACCGTGATGTTGTACTCCAATATCATCACAGTTTTACTGTCTCTCGACCAATCAGATTGCAGGGCCGGAACTAACTGATGTATAAATGTGCATTGTTCTATACATTGCCTCTCCTGTGTAGTTACATCACTGGACCAAACTAAAGTGACAGAAAATAACTGTATTCTGGTCGGGGTGGAAAAACCTCTGAAGCAGCGTTTTTGCATGAAGAAAGCTACTCCATTTTTAACTTGCTTCTAAAACCTGGCACCTCTTAGCCTTCACAAGTGCATAACTATAAGTTGCGCAAAGACTGGACCCTTTGGCAGGCCGGTTCTGGCCCCCGGCTTGTGTGTTTGACACCCCTGATCTAGAAGACATTTTGAATGAGCTCTGTTAGTGTTTCACTGCGTTTTGTTTCTAGTTCAGATATTTTTTTAAATCTTATAACATCAATATTTGCTCTGTTAAAAACAGGGAGGCTCAGATTGCCAGGGATCTTAAGAGAAACATGATTCTTGTTGAGCTTGTTGCAAAATGATCTAAAGCACATAGAAGGCTCAGATTGCAACAAATTTTAGGAGAGGCAGGATGCTTTCTAAACTAAAACTAAAGCTGAAACTTGTTCCTGATTATTTATGTAAAAAAGTAAACATATATGAAGGCAAGAGATTTGTCTTCTGGCGCACTGACAGAGGACGAAAGAACACAGGGTACCAAATTACAAAGAGATGCACTGTTTCTGTGAGTTCAAAGATTTTTGCTGCTGGTGTGATGTCGTTTTTTTTCTCCCTCCATTTCTCCCCTCAACGACACATACAGTAAATCAAGCATTTGCCCTTTTACCCAGGGGCAGAAGTAACTTCACTGAACCCTCTGGTTACCACACCAAGCCACTGCAAAGCAAGCACAGAGTGTGGACTGGTGGCTGCAAAGGAGCAAGTTCACCTCCTGGGCACTACTGAGCAAGGAACTGAAACCCAACTGCTAAGGCGCGACCCAATGAGGCAGCACCTTCGCTCTGACATCTCTCTGTATGTTAATACCTGTGTGTATTTTGGGCCTGTGTGTAATAATAACAAATTGAGTATAACTGTTTGCCCAGCAGCAGTTGATTAAGTACTCCTTAGTCTTCTTCTTCTTTGACAAACTGTGTTACCCATCATGTTTTAGTACTTTTACTTCCTTTATATTAGGTAGCACTTAATCTCTATAAACAGATATCTGCATTTTTTATACAGAATTTCAGGGAATGTTAGGGTATTTTGGTATCAGAAACATTCTAGTTTCTGTTTTTAGTCAGAGTATTGACCAGTCATGCTGAAGCAGGCTTTGGTTGCCCGCAGGTAAACAGTTTGTGTGAGAAGCAAAGAAGGCGAGACACATTGGCTGAAATGCAATCTAGAAAACCAATGGCTATTGTCTGATAGCGATTTAGCTTTTTATTAGCTTTTACCTGATTAATCTGCATTGATATGCAGATGGTAATTAAACTAAATGTTGTCTGGACCTGTCTTAAGTTGTTAATCAAACCATAAACAATGAGCAGCGCATAACAAAGGAAGTCCGGGCCCTGATGTCTGCTGGTTTCTCTGGATCTCTCTAAATAATGGCCGTTGCCTCCAGAGGCTTTACTGTCATCAGACGATAGCTAATGGGTTCCGGGACTGGGTAGCAAACTATGGCCATGTTATCGTAGTTTCTTTAAATGGTTATGTCTCAGACTATCCCCTGTGTGTCAGAGCCTGATCAGCCACTATATAGAGCATGTTTCAACCATGTCTCAGTCTGTCAGGTCAGTTTGTGCTGCTCAGTTCTCTTCTGTTAGTATTTCAGTCTAGTTCTGTTTTGCTGACCTCATTTATGCACCCAGAGTTATTTTCAGAATTTTTTTTATTTTTTTGGCCTTTTGCTTTTTGTAAGTAAAAAAGGAAAACATCTTTATAAAAACAGCACATCTCTATCTCTCTGGTCTAACCACTTGGTCTAAAACACAAGGGGCTTCTTCCAAATGTCAAATTCCATATAAATAAGAGACTAAATATGACAAAAAATAAGCCCAACTGTGTTAGGAAATCAAATGGGAGGCATGGATGGATTGTGTGGTAACACAATCTTACATACCGTTGAGGAGCAGATTTACATTGAAGTGTAATTATTAAAATACTCAGGGGTAACACACATGTAGCAGTGCACACTGTAATGGCAGTGGAGGTTCAGTTTACAGTACTGTGCGTGGCTAACATATTTTGCTGTTTCATAAAATGAAATTAGCAAGCACAACCACCCAAACCTGACTAGCCTCCTTTGAGTGTCCTCAAATACCAATATTTATTATTTAATATTTATTCTAATTATATGTCTATACATTTCCCTAAATACTGTAATTGAGAAGCACAGCTCAGTTTTAGCCTAACTTAGGTCTACAACAACATTATTGAGGCAGCTTAGATATTTTACATTTTGCATTGTGTCATGTAGTGTTCTGCATGATATATGTACAGAGAGGAGTGTCAGTCTGTGAATGTTGTAAATGACAGAAAGGTCTGAGCCACATGTGCAGTGGACAGCTTCATTTTTCAACATGAACAAAACTAGACAAGCCACAGAGGGATGTCACAACATTGCCGAAATACTGGGGATTCATACCAATTTGTGTGCTTATTTTTTAAACCATCAGACTCACTTCAGTAAGTGACTTTGCCAGCTGCTGGGTGTGTGTTTTACTACTTACTTACTTACTTACTTTAACAGCCAGTCACAGTGCTGTGCACCAAAAACCAGTTCAATGGAAATGGATTTGGTATAGCTGTTAATGATCCGTTAAAAGATGTCTTGTTTGGCCCTGAACCTGATTCCTGCAGATCGGCTCAGGAATCTGTGAAACTGTTAGATGCTTGATGATTGTGCTAGCACACAGGAACATCAAAAGCTTGAATATAATGAACACTTTTCTTTTTCAATGAATCCGGGCTCAGCTACCACGTCCTCCTGGGACACTTCGGCTAACACTGGACTGGGTGGTGAAGCCTTCAGACTCTCATGGAAATAAATGGAGGTGTTAACTTGCTGTTTCCCAGTCTGAAAGGGCCTGGCCTGTACTCACAGTCAGGGTACGTGTGTGTGTGTGTAGTCAGCTAGCCTGTTAAAAAATCAGTACCTTCACTAGTTGGCACCAAAAATGTTTGTTAGAGGAAAACAGGAGGATTTTGGAAATGCAAGTGAGACTAACCAGCAGCTCTGATTAGGGCTGGGCAATATGACGGTATATAGCGTACAGTGGTAAAAATGTGTTCACTGGTAAAGATTTAGTAATACTGTTTTTACCACAGGTGCTATTCTAGGCAGGCTTTGTAGCAAATCAAGGCTGGATTCTCACATGATGTTGTGAGTCACACAATATCTCCGGATCTTGCAATCTCCCAAATCCAGCTGCCTCGAGAGACAATGAGGTTTGGGCAGACATGGAAAAAGGAAATTGAAGTTGTAAATTCAAAAACCTTGAACACTTGAAATCATAATTTTTAGGAACCTTAGAGCTTCCACTTAGAATACATTTTTGTTTTATTGTGTGTTGTGTCTTGCGAGGTGGTTGTTTTTTTTTCTTGTATGGAAGTTCCAACTAAAAGAAAAAAAGATAACCAAATGCACTGAGGAAGGTGTGATTATTTTAAACCATGTCCTAACTGAATTTACAGAATAATTCCTGTATTACTGTTGCCATGTCCTAAAATTAAATGTAGACGATTTTGACCATGTTGCCCAACCCTAGCTTTGATCACCAACTCTCTTTCTCTCTCTCTCTTTCACATACACACACACATGCACAAACACCCACATGTGCTCTCAGACTCATACACACGGATGTTTCCCGCTAGGCT